CAGGACATTGGGCCTTCATACACCTGCTCACAAAGATAACAAAGTCTGACTCCAGAAGCCAGAGTATGCTGCCTGCAATCCCTGCCCAGATGGATATGCTTGCCACATCGGTGGCACCCACTCCCTCATTGGCGCGTCCTTGAATGAGCCTTTCCGCACTTCCCACAAGTGCGGCCTGGCTATCCCCCAATCCTGGAATCAGCGATCTTAGACCGCTTCAGTTTCGGTTGCGACTGTACCGGGGCCTGTCCTTGCTCCCTCAACTGCAGCTCGATCTCCAACTCATGCCGCCTCGCGGCCTCCTGTAGCACCAACAGAGTATCAAATCGTTGGGTAGATACAAACTGTTGGATGTCGGTCTTGAGCATGCTCAGATAATGAGTCATCTAACCCTACTCGGAAGCAAACTCTGGGCAAAACATCACCCTCTCTGTGAATATACGGGTGATCTCCGCCACCGACTCCACATTCTGTCTCAAACTCAAAAACTCCTGAGCCAATCCTTCCCGCTCAACCCATGGAATGTATTAGGCGCGAAACATAGCTCAGAACTGCTACCAAGTAATAGTAGCTCTCTGATCATTAGTGTACGACCCTGTCGTCAACGTCCACCTGCCCTTGGCTCCGGACCTAAGCAGTTTCAGAGCACACCTGACCTTCTGGTCAGTAGGCAATAAGAAAGTAAAGAAACATACCTCCACATCGGAAACCCACCTCATAAACTTGATGGGGTCCCGAGTCCCATCAAAAGTAGGTGGCTTCGTGTTATGAAAGTTCTTGTACTGGAAGCCCCGACTGGCTCTTACTCTTCCTCCGACCGTTGTTACTGCTAATGCAGCTGCAGTAGCAGCCATCTCTGCAAGGGCTGCATATTTGTCATCGAAGTACTCCATCATAGCGTTCTTGATAGACCCAAACAACTCCAGAATTTGTCCCCGGACAACCTCGACCACCTCCTCACGGATGATCTTCCTGACTCGATCCTCTGTCAACATTGGCCCCTCCTGGCCGATAACCTCAGGCATTGTTGGGGCCTCCTGATCGCACTGCCCCAATCCCGATTCAGATCCAGACACAAAACGCCTCGTAACCACCATACTGAAAATATAACAGGAAGATATCAGACAATCCTAATAAATAACTGGGAACCAACTCCCGACTAAAACCTAGGGTTGTGACTTCCTTGCTACGCACATAGGTCCTGTTCTTTCAGTACTAAGGGCCCATACTACTTTCCACACCTATCCATATTTGTCTCAAGTATAATCACAACACCCTAACACTATACATGCATATGGTGGTCGCTCGACCTCACTCATCCATGAGACTTCCAACAACCCCTGCAACACTAGTGTATGCTAACCATGCACAATGCTGGACCCCATAGACATTCGAATATCAGATCCTACCCTAAGCACTATTCAATAAGAACATAACATAAGGATAAATCAAACATTCTCGGGCTATAAGATCTTAATTCTCGGGCTAGCATACATCATCTAATCAGGCAATTCTATCATGCAATTCCTAAAAATCCCTAGCCTAGTACTAGTATGTTGTTCTAACATATCACATAATCAAATAATTGTATGGTATTTTGGGGTTTACTTACTGACTCCAGCTGATCGTACACCCTGCATCCTTCATTACTTATTTTGAAAACCATTTTGAAAATCTTTCCTCGATTTGAGACTGGATTCAAACGAATGTTCCTCCAATTCACTCAAACCAAGGCTATGATACCAACTTGTAACACCCATAAAAATAATGCCAAATTTAAACTTTTTCAAAACACGCAAAACCATTTAACATTACACAGTTTGTTTTCAAAATAATAAATATCATAGTATCCCAATATCAAATCATAACAACAGGAGGATCGGTGCGATCATGCCTTCACCTTCTCGCGATCTCCAGAAGTACCTGAAACAAGAAACTGAAACTGTATGCCCAAAAGTTTAGTGAGTTCCCCCAAAATATCCATACACTACTAGAAAAAAGGCCTTTTACAACGCTCATTGCGCGTCGTAAAACGCTCAGACGACGCACAAATGCGTGTCAAGGAAGGCCCTGTCATAAAGAGAGACGACGCGCATTTACGACGCACATTTACGACGCTCGGTTACGACACGCAATGCGTATCAAGGAAGGCCCTGTCATAAAGGACGACGATACGCATTCGCGTGTCGTAACCTTACAACGCGCGTGTTAATGACACGCAATGCGTATCAAGAAAGCCTCTGTCAAGAAAGGCCATGTCATAAATGAAGATGACACGCATGTTTGCGTATCATAATTTTAAATGTTAAAAAAAATTTTATTTTTTATAGATTTACTAATTTTCAAATTAAATTTGCATTTAATGCCTCACAATATAAAATAAAATATCATATACAAAAAATATAATCCATTTCATAAAATTTAATGTCTTACAATTCTATTTCTTACAATATATAAATTTACATGTAAAAACATCTCTACAGTCTACATGTTTCATGCTTGATTTCCATCTTTTATCGTTTTTAAAAACAAAAGTTCTAACAAGAAACCTTCTTTTAGTAATGCAAGTGATGCTCTTGATAAGCTGATATTCTTAAATGTAACAGATCCCTCATTACTTGGAGATGCTGGTGAGCTTGAAATCCAAATTAAACCTGATCCAGAAAAAGGGACAAACAACTATCAGTAAGCAATCAAGTTCCAAATTAAAACATTAAGTCACAAAGATATTATAATGGAATGAGACATTTTGAAAAGTTCATTATTTCATGTAGTTATTATTATTTATTTTTTCTTTTAACCAAACCCATAATTCCATTTTCAATAAAATGGTAAGTCAAAGATACATCCCTGTTTAACCTAAAATCCATCAAAACATTGAACTAACATACTAAATCAAGGATAATGCAAAGCAGTTTCTTTTGGGTAACCCACTAGCAACAGGGGTAATTTGTCCATCTACATGCAGTAGATTGTACTAGGGACTTAAAGCACTTATAAAACTATCTTATGGAGGGTATTTTGGTAAACGCACCAGCAACAGGGGCAAGTCTGTCCAAAAAAATATCCGAACGGCCTAATCATATTTAAATAGCATCAAATCAGCACTAATCTCTCTATATCTTCTTCATTTTGTCCAGAAAAACAACTAAAAGACCTTGAAAGCACAAATACAACAAAAAAATATTAAAAATATGTATTTGAAGGATTATTTAATTAAGAGAAAAAAACAAAGTAACTTTATTTACAATTTTACCCCTGTAACTGCAGTTTCTGTCCATGCCCAAGCTAATGGAAGAAAATACCATGGGGATTTAGCAATCATGAAAAGCCCCAATGCATATGAAGTGGCAAATATCAAAACAGATTTCCATGCTTTCATGTTATCAATTTCAAATACCTTTTGAGAAAAAAAAAGTATTAAATATGAATATGTTCAAATAAAAAAGGATAAAAATTAATAAGTAAGAGTGTAATACGGTCTTGGGAAGAGTATCGATGATGTCTTCAAAGTGATATTATCTGAAAGTGGTTCTCCAATTTTTCTAAAACCAGCTAAAGTGCAATGGAACTACACTTTAGGGACCAACCATGCAAAAAAATGTAACACCGGGACTGAACACGTAACTTTTGAAAGAGCACAGGGACGAAAGTTTTAACTTAGTCTAGACTGTAGAATATATTGCATTTTTAGTCCCTGAGTTTAGCAGTTTTTTTCGTTTTTGGTTCCTAAAGGAATCAGTTTGCAGTTTTGGTTAATGTTTCATAATGATTTTGGTCCCTTAATCCTTAAAAGACCATTTTGCCCTTGATCCAAAACCAAAAAGAATAGTGTACCACATGGACCAAAATGGTCATTTTAAAGATATTAACAGCTGGGTAGGTAGGATTAGCAATTCAGGGGCCAAAACTGTTATGAAACATCAAATTAAGGACAATATTTGAAAACAGATTCCTTTAGGGACCAAAAGCGAAAAAATGAGCTAAATTCAGGGACCAAAAATGTAACTTTTCTATACTCTAAAAAAAAAGTAGCACCGACCTTGGAGCACCCTCTGCTACAAAAACACGAAATGATCTCTTCTTCTCCTTTGCAGCACAAAGAAATTCAATGACAGTTCTTGAACTTCCGAAGGTCAATATAACTTCACTGCAAATAATTGTTTTTTCATTTAATATATTGACTATTAATATTATATTAACAACTTTTGGGAAGAAGGGTTTAGAGAGAAATGAGAATACTTATGGTGATTATGCTTGACTGCTTGCTCAACAATCTCTTCATGACAGGTGGCAATATCTTGAATCAGATGAATCTGTTTTCCTTTATTTTTGTTTATTATAGCATGAATCTGTTTTCATTTCTTCCTATACTTTGAAAAAAGTAAACTGTTATAATAAGGTAGAATTTTCAAACTTCAAAGTACAATGGCTTATCAAGAAAAAGTTTAAAAGTACAATGTTGTAATAAAATGATTTGAAAGTAAGAATGTAAGATGCTATCATAAGCAAAAAAAAAAAAAAGTACCTTTCCTTCTACTTGAGGGAAACTGCAAAAGTGAATGCTTTCCTCTGATCCATTCGATACTTTTTGCAAGTTACGATAAAGAATCTCAGTGAAGAAGGGTGTAAATGGAGCCATTGCTTTACAACAAGTTAAAAGCACCTAAAAAGAATGTAATATAAACCAATTAAGAAACCCAATTAAAAATTAAAAAAAAAAAAGAATGTTAAAATGAAAGCATACATGGTATAGAGCTGAAAGTGCAGTTCTGCAGTCATCTTCTCCAGTGCGACCTTTAAGTCTCTTATGATTAAATCTTACGTATATATTGGTCAAATTGTCAATGAACTTCAACAGATAAGGAACAACCTGTGAAAGCACTCACAAATAAGTATCCATATATGTGTATGTATATGAATATGTACATGTATTATGTTTAAAGAGATAGCATATGTAATATGCTTACATCATTTAGACTTTAGATGATTTGCATATGTTAAGCTGAGAATCGTATGCCCATGTCAGCATTTTCCAATATGCTCATCATATTATCTGAAAACAAAAGAAAACAATATCAACAAAATCAATTTCACAAAAAACATGCAAACTCATTAAAGTAAAAGAAATAACATACCTTCAACTCTGTTTGTATGACCAGGTAGTTCATTTAGAGTATTAGCGTGTATAGACTTAGCAAACTGTTGAATACACCTTAATCTTAAAAGAACATCAAGAGAATTTTGGGCATGAATGTTGTGGACAATTTTCAGCAACAATGACAAAATGAAGCCACTAGAAGATCTTAATTCCTCATACAATGAACTAATGCTATAATTGGTGGCATGTGAAGTTTTTTCATATCTTGCAGCAATTTCTGTAGACACAAGGGAATACTTGAGTGTGTCCCACATGATCATTGAGTCGCTTAATTGACTTGATCCTAAGATTTTATCATTTCCTGGAAAATACATTTCGTGTAGTAAATGAACCACAGATTCAAGATTCGCGCCTGTTCCTCCTTTGTGTTTTACCGGAAAAGATTTGAGGAATTTGTTCCTTCTAGAATCATCCGCAGAAGCTTGTAAAATAGAAAGGGATTGTTTAAGAAGAAGGAGATGCTCAGATGATTCGTAGTTAGCAGCATCCATGGGGGACAGATTTGGAATTTTGGAAGATGCTACACTCTCCTTATTTCTCCATCACAAAACAATCACCAAACATCATATCCTCGATTTGAATTTTTGCTGCTGATTCTTGTGCTATGGACAAGTAAGATATACCTTAAAGGGGAGAGTAAAAGAAAAGCGGGCTCAGATAGAAGCATGTTGATCAGATTTCAGACTATTTTGAGGAAGAAGAAGAGATGGGGGTTACCATCATATATGCAGAGATTGAAGTCAAAATCATCTTGAGCCATTAAAGCTAAATACGATGGTTGACATGAAAAACTGTAACAGGGCATCCCTGTTTTCAGTTTATCCCTCAGGAACAAATGGAAGTTGAGGATGGCGAACGTCGGCGGGTTCGAGGAGTCACAGTCGCTGACGAGGTGAGGTGAGATGAAGTTGCCAAACTATTGTAGAGAGCACTCCTTTACATTTTGAATGGTTCTTGAAAAAAAAGCCCTAGAATCGTCCCTTCAATTTTGTGTGTGTGTGTGTGTGTTTGAGAGAGAGAGAGAGAGAGAGAGATGTAGATAAAGATAGTGATAAGTCTATGCGTGTGTGAGAGTCAGCATATGTTGAATAGGGTTCTAGAAAAAAGAAGTAGAATCGTCCCTTGCCTCTATTTCACATATTTGGATTCTTTATGCAGATCGTTATCACCTTTCAGTCTCGATGCATTTGATCATAAAATCAAGAGAAATTATGCTATGAAGACGAAGGCCTAGGGCTTTTTCTTGCTAATTGGAAGAGGCGGGGGTTTTAATTTTGGGGATCCAATAGGCGGGTGAGAAACGGAGGGAGATAGAGCGGCATGGTGGTGGCAATGGCGCCAATGGATGTAACGGCGAGAAAGGCTACAACGAAGAAGATGAGTTTTAGGTTAGAGAGAGAGAAAGGAAGACGAAGACCTAGGCTTCTTTCTTGCTGATTGGGAGGGGGGGTTATTTTTTCACAAAGGCGGGGTTTTAATTTTTGGGGATTTCATTTCCCGCTCAAAACGCGTGTTTCATTAAAAAAATATAAAGCGACACACTTACTTGACACACATTTTATAATAGGCGTCCTCTGTATTTCTTTTTTTTCTTTTCTAACACTAATTTCAGGGCACGCACAAATGCGTGTCTTCTATCCTTCAAATTTTATAAGAGATGACATTAATTTTTGGATGCATGCTTTTGCGTATCGTAAATCACTGCGTGTCATTGTTTGCGCGTCATTAAAGGTTGTTTTTCTAGTAGTGATACCCACGATAATACACATATAATCATAAACAACATACTATGGGTCCAGTCAACCATTGGGTTCGAATACCCCAGGCCCTCAACCAATCGGTTGGAATGCCAACATACTATGGGCCCAATCGTCCTCGGGATGGAATGCCCCAGGCCCACAACCAAAAGGTTGGAATGCCCATATACTATGAGTCCAATCATCCTTGGGATAGAATACTCACATCCCACAACCAATAGGATGGAATGACCAGGTCTGTTGGCTTTCACACAAAGCAAATAAGCCACAACCGCCAAACAAACATGTGCACATGTAACACTGTAAATTTTCATACAAATATTTCACTTTTAAAATCACATAAATATCATCAACACATATCACAAAATCTCAATATATTAATTATCAAAAACATGTCTTCATAAATATTTAAATAAAATCCAGGATCCTCGAACGCAACTCCATCTCGTGTGTACAATCAAGCTGGCGCCTTCCCGTGATCCTGAGAAGTACCTGAAACACATAACACATAACACAGTAAACATGAAGCTTAGTGAGTTGCCCAAAATACCACATACAGCACATTATCCACTCGAGGCTATAACTCGGTAAGACCCTCCGGTCTATGTGTCTCAATGGGACCATCCAGTCCCAAAGCTCGTTAGACCATCTGGTCCGGTCTTAGTGAGGACCCTCCGGTCTCACAACTCGTTGGACCTTCCGATCCGGTCTCAGTATCACATAATATAGCATACATATACCACACAGACAAATGCACAACTCATGTAAGCACATAAGCTCAACATATACACAGATTACTATAATAGCATAAGTCACAAAGATAGTATACACGATAACACATAACACATTATAAACAAATAAGACCCTCCGGTCGATAATGTACTAAGACCCTCCGGTCAATAATGTAATTAACACCCTCCGATCAATAACACGAATAAGACCCTCCGGTCACACATAAATTACAACACGGGTAAGTATAGTGAGAAGACTCACCTCAGATGGCAGACAGATCCTATAAATGCTGCTGTTGTACTTCAGCTTCTAACACTAAGCCAAACCCACAATTAACCCTATTAGAATTTAAGACCAAACCTTCACACATTAGGTCCAAATGTGGTCCACCATCCGGTCCAGAAATAACGCAAGCCCAATTGGCCCAATACCAAATGGGTCCATAAGAGTCCACTAATGGCCCAATTTTCCAAATTGGGCCCAAAACTCATATGGGCCTTACCGTGAAGCCCATCTAAATAATCTTGTCTAAATGATTGTTCTTGGATGGCCCATCAGTAGACCAGTCACCAAAGCCCAATAAAAGGCCCAACTCAAGGCCCAAGCAAAAAATTAGGGTTTTCACATAAAATGACAATTAGGGTTAAGTGTTCTCACTTAACCCATTAAGAACTTAACCCACTAAGTCCATTACTCTACTAAACCAACATACAACAGAAGCGATATGAGTCATGACTTTAGTCCACTGGTCCAAACGCGGGTCCCAATATGTCAAAACAAAAAAACCCAAAATTAGGGTTTTCTAACCCAATCATAAAGTAGCCTGGTCCAATATTAAGTGTTTAGGCCCATTGAGGTTCCACTAGATCGGGCACCACGTACTGCCACCTCGGGTGGTGGTGGTCGGTGGCGGCTCATGGCGGAAGCCACCAGCTCATGGTGATGGTGGGAGGCTTCCGTTCATACAAACACTCATTCATCCTCACAATTTCCGAAATCAGCAATTAGACACAAACCCAAACTCATAAACACACCCACAGCCACCTCCCACGGTGGCTGGTGGCAGCGAGACATGGTTGAAACGACAGCCACCTTGGTGGTGCGCCCAATCCTCCGACTAGCAATAATCACGAGTCCAATAACATCATATGAAAAATACAATGTTAAACACAACCATTAGCCACCGCTGAAGCCTGGCCGCGTCATAATCGACGGAACCGACGACTGAGGTCGGAAACAATAGCTAGGGCATACCCACGTCGCCATTCGGAGTGAAAAAGATACGGGAGAGAGAGAATGGTTGCAGATACCTGTGATGAGAGCTTCCCGATGTTCATAACCCACAGATCAACCCCACAACGAGTTCCATGACCCTCGGTGGTTCTCCGATTGCCCAAGATATCTAGCAGCAATGATGTGGTGGTGCTCGACGATGTAATAGGTAGGAAGGTGGCGGTCTACTTGGGTTTGCCTGATCGGAAAACGGATGATAGAAAGAGATGGCGGCTGAATGCTTAGGCTAGGGTTCATGATGTAGCGAAGGAATGAACAGGTTTAATCCCTCCTCCATTCAACTTATGCCCTTTTGTTCACTTCTGACCCCTCCCCAACATTTCTTTTTCAAATTAAATCCAGTAGTTCCCTTCTTAACCCCTGATTCCATAATTCATTACAATTTAGGTCCAAAACTTACCATTCACACCCTGACTTCTGAAACCCTTCTCAATTTAAATCCAAAACTTACTCTTTTAACCCTCAAAATCCAAAATTATATCAATTAGCTCCCCAACACCAAACCCCGCTAGATATTATTTACTTTAGGATTATTATCCACATTAACCCTTATCTATTTATTTATTTAATACACGAGATGTTACTGTTGGATAAGGTGTCTAAGTCCATAACTATTTCTGGTATGTACTTGACCCGACCCGGCATGGTCCATTTGGGTTGCATGGCACCATGCAATTGGATAGACTAAATGAGAGAAATAACACTTGGAGATTATTAATATATTATAAGCTCTAATATATTAATAATATTATTTGATTAGTTTGATCAATAATTAATTTAGAATTAATTAACTGATCAAAAGAGAACTAATTAACTATATGGGTTGATTATGTAAATCATCCATATCTTGTATAGTAGGCTAAGAGGCTCCATGGATTATCAAGTTGGGTTCTACCCATAGGATGCTCCATGGGAGTTACAAACCCATGGGTCATGGAAATGAAGAGTCATGACACATTAGGGTTTACATGGTGTAACCCTAGATGTGTCAACACTATATAAGGATCTCATTCTCCACCAAAATCGGCTACACTAAGAAAACAAGAGGGCTTGGCCGATTTTAAGAGGTGTGCATTCTCTCAAAAGTCTTTCCAAGAGTATTTGGTGTTGTGTGAAGCATTTGAGGCATCACACTTGGGGTGCTAGGCTCATAAAGTTTCAAAGAACATAAGCAACGATAAGGTAAGTTATTCTATCTATCATTCAAGTTAAAATTGTTCCCCATGTATGCTAGTTAGGAATATAACCTTAGAAATTCAACTTTGCATGATAATTAGACAAACATAGATCCAAGGTTATTAGGGTTGCATGTACACTTAGGAAGTGTTAGAATGCTCAAAACCCATCAGTGGTATCATAGCCTAGGCTTGTTTGCTTTTTGTTTGTGCTTAAAAGTTGGAAAAAGTTGAAAATCTTGCTGTCTAATGAATAGACTCGTCGAGTCCATGGTGGGGACTCGTCGAGTTCATGTGTATCTTCAACCTACTCGGCGAGTAAGTTCATGCACTCGGCGAGTAGGGTAGACAGATTGCAGAATTTCGACTTTAGTTGCTAGAAATGGACTAGAAACATTACCCTAAACTGTTTTGGCACTTGAAAACTTGTTTTAGATGGTGTAATGTCTTTTCTAATTCATTTACAACAACTAGTTATCAAAATTACAAAGTTTTAAGTGTAATTTTGATTTATGAATGTGTTCATATTCATGT